ATGTTGAGTTTTGATGGTGAGGACACATTAGAAGCCTTTTTTTAAAAAAAAATCGCAAAACAAAACAAAAACCAGAATTTGTGCACAAAAGATAAGGTATTTTAGCCCACCAAGCAAATGACATATTGTGCTTCCCAGGCAGGAATGGGGTCCAGCTATCTGTAGTGCTCTATCAGCTCATAAATATTTTGCTCACAGAGGAGACTGTTTACAGGTCTTGCGCAAACCGATTTAGGTCAAATGTTTACAGAGCAGCTACTGCTCAATCAACTAAGCATGAACCTCTGTAAATCATCCATTTATTTAGCCATACCAGGAAAACAGCCAGCACGACTCTTTCCACCCACCATTTCATACCCTTGAAGTAGCTCTTTGAAAAACACAGAATTCCTGCAAAGGAAAATGTCTCTTTCTCACTCTTCCCCCCAATAAACACATATTTTTAAAAAAGGAAATACACACCTCAAAATCTAGCTCTGCATATCGGGATTTCCGCCTCTGGGGATTCAAAAGAAAAGGAGAGATGGTTGAATATTAGTGATGCTGGTGACTGTGCACAGACTGAAACAAACAGAAGATAGAACAGGAAAGGGTCCCTCTCCCATTCCTTCTTCCTGAAACTTTAACATGTCTCTCTGGCTCCTTCTGATGGAAAGGACCAGCAAAGTAGAGGGATTTCATGTAATACACATGGGGTGAAGCTGGAAATGGCTATTACTGGTGAAGAACACTGAGCCTCAGGGAGGGATGGGCATGGATGCAGATTAGCACAGGATTTTGTCTGATTCAAGTCGCTGTCTTAATATGAGCTTGTAGGTGATCACAGAATGGGAGGGATAAAAAAAGAAAAAGTCCAGATAAAAAGGCCAGATCCTGAGAAAGTGCAAAAACTAATATGGACATTAGTGTAAGATCTACTGCCTGAAGAGTAGTGCTAATATATGTAGTAAATTATCATAAATCAGAAGAATGCATTTATGCAAATCATCTGACATCTCTTTGATGCTGAGAATTGTGGTGCTTGCCTTAAGGGCAATTTCTTATTTGTATCATGACTGATACCATCAAAATGGGAAACAGAGGCAGAAGATGGAAGGAGAGAAGGTAATGGAAGCCATGCATTAAAGTCAGAAAGTGTTTGACAGGCTAAAACTTTGATTAGATTTTGTGGTTACTGTAGAGCTAAAGAGGGTTCACCAAGGAATGAAATATGGCTGTGGAAGCCATGGGTGATATTTACCATTAAATTAGAAAATCATACAATCTGCCAGGGTCCACTCATGATATTGTAATATTGGCACTGCAACGTAGCCTGCATTTAGCCTAAGGCTCTTCTCCTGTCTGGTGTAGCCCATGTGGAATATCATCCGGGGCTGAGAACAAGGCAGTAATTCCCATGCTCACCTCCAAGGAGCTCATGGAGAGGGTGGAGACGGTCTCGCTCTTGGACACTACACCCGAGTTCCCTGAGTCACCCGTGTCACACAGACTGTTGGGAATCTGTGTCTCGTTGGAGATGTTTGGTGGAGGCAGCTGCTGCTGCTGTTGTATCATGGAGGAACCTTGCACCTCACTGCATGTCATGGTTACAGGCTCCCGTGGGGGACTCTTGACAACAAAGCCTGGGTCAGTTGCCATACTGAGGTGGATGAGACGTGTCTGAGGCATCTGGTCAATATTGATGCTATATTTGCTCTCATCCTTGGGTGGTTTGGCCCGTAAAGTAGATGTGTTGGTAGGCAGAATTACATAGCTGGTGTCCAGTGTTTGCTCTTGTGCTCGGGAGAGTTCTGAGTCCAGCTTCTTGAAGATGTCCCCATCGCAGATGTAGATAGACTTGGGTGGCTGGTTCTTGTCCTTCTTCAAGGTCAGTGTGTGATTACTGAATTCATTCAGGTTGATGGCCCCTAGGTAGTGAGGTGAGCCCTGAAGATGCATCTTGGAGACATTGGCTGGAAGACTGTTGAAGTTTGATGACCCCTTCTGGTGATTGAGTTTCAATTTCTCTTCATCCTGCAGTGATGGGCGCTTCAGTGTTCCTGTGATGGTTGAGGTCCTGCAGGTGGTGATGTCTTTATTCAGCACTAAGGAGACAGACATGTATCATTAGCACCTCACTTAAGCTTTTATTAACACATCAATACACCCACACCACAGTTACATGTGTTAGCATGTTCCTTTGGCCTTCTCAGAGAGAGACAATGGTGTCAGAAAAGTATTTTATATTGGATTTTTAATCCAGGTTGATGAAGAGAAAGCTAAAGCTAGGGAGGTAACAACTTTCCCATTTTGAGAGATTTTTTAGTGCTTCAAAATTTCCATCTCAAATCATAATTAAATCACACTGATAAAAAGATCTTGAAATTATGTATGCATATATGTACATTTAGTACACATAGTGTGGGAATACATGGTGTTTACTATATATATATATTTACACAGACACACCATATTTTATGCCTAGAAATAATGAGCAAGATTTGATTCAGAGTGCAGTGTTAACAACAATTACAAAATGTCAGTGTTCTTTTTTTTTAATTTTTTTTTTATTTCATTGAACTACTTCAGGTTGATCTTTTCCCAGAAAAGTTTCCAGGTCAATGATTGATATTTCAAAACAAAAGCATATTTTCTTACAAGTTTCTAATTAGCGCTCATGAAAACTCATGTTCCAGTAATCATAGCAAATCTTTCTAAGAGTTATTTGCTGTTTCTCAATTTGCCTTGAGGATAACAATGGAGTTCCATGAACGTGCCTTAATAGCAGAAGAAAACCTTAATCTGAGCATGGGGTGAACATGTCAACTAGGAGGTATACACAAGACATAGACATTCATTCCTACACAATACCATCCACTAAAAAACATCCTTTTCTAGGTATAAGAATTTATTGTTCTGTTGGTTTCTGGCTGCAGCAAAGACCTTACAGGACTAATGACATCAGCCTTGATGTTTTCAGGGACCAGAAATCCCAGAACAGATTCTGTGGCATGGAGAAACTGATATGGGACCAAATCCTACTTACCCAGCATTTCAGCATAGGAGAAGTAAATGCATCTTCCCCTTCACCCTCCACAGAAAAAAAAAAAAAAAAGGCTCTTTTTACTTATATTTTTTTGCCAATTGAGCCTGAGGGTAACCTGACATGATTCAGTTGCTCCACCTGTGATGGAGGAAGGACATGGCACAGGTATCTCACTGGACTGAGGGCACTGCCTGGCAATTCATACCAAGAGGAATGGTGGTGGAAGAATGAAGATGCCATCAAAAAACATAGGGAAGGCAAGGCAAAATTACAAGGAGACCAAATGAAATAAAAGATCTTTTAAAATTTCTGAAAGCTAAACATACTGGATGCAACTATGACAGCCACAGTTATCCTGACATTGCTAGAAGACATGCCAGGATAAATCAGAGCATTACCATACACTGCAGGGAGACGTCAGTGAGCTCTAACCCCTAGCTTGGCATTGACTGTAAGGTCTATTGATTCGGGCTCTTCTCCATATTCATGTCAGCTGCATCAAGTAGGTTTGGAGACCTAGTAATCTCCAAACATGGACCAGAGAGAGCTTACATCAAACCTCAGACATGCTTTCAACACTGGGCCATGGACCAAATTCTACCAGGGAATCGAAGCAAAAAGGTTACAAGTGGTATCAGGCACATCTCCAATCTGTCATAAGAAGATAACTGGTGTTTCCAGGAGAAAACATGGCCATAAACCAATAGACGGATTTTTTTAAATTAAACAAAGAAGCAAAATGCATAGAAATTCCCTTGATGCATCATGGTACCTTGGAACCCATAGAATGGTCTCCAAATCAATGTTGATTATTAATAATCTAGCTTGAGATAGAGGCACAGAATGACAGCACTGTTTCAAAGATAATTTATCTCTTCAGGCAGATAAAAGATACAGAAAAATTGTATAGCGGTAGGCTGGCAAAGGAAGGCAGGCCTAGGTTGTGAGCAAGGTGCTCATCCAGGGTCATCTGCCCTGAAGACACATAAAAGCAATCAGCTCTTTCCTTTCCTCTGGAAAGCCCGAGTCAGGAATAAGAAACCCAGTAGCAGATCCAGAAGGGTTCCTGAAGTGCAGGAATCAGATGTCTGTCTTGGTTTTCAGGGTTTGTGTTCCCCAGAACTACAAACTGGGCTGCTGCATTGTGTGCAGCTGGTTTTCTTCCCCAGTAACCAGCCTGGGTGCATGTTTGCTGAGCATGTGTTCAAGTCAGACCTGGTCTCATGTGAATGTTTTTCATGTATGGTGTTATTTTTTTTTTTTTTGGGGGGGGGGAACTCACTTCATCAATGTCAAAAAGGAAGGAGAAGGACAAACGAGAAGAGGAAGACAGCTAGAAATACAATTAGAAAGTGTGAGGCAAAGAAATGGAGAAAAAAAATGGAGAGACCCTCAAAAGAGATAAATGGTCAGAAAGAGACCATGAAATAAGATATCACATGGGTAAGTGAGATAAATATACTGTGACCATGATAGGCATAGAGAGAGGGAGTGAGGCACAGGACAAGACAGAAAACGATAAATAAGATATAGATAGATATTAGATAGATAAATGATAGCGACAGTGATGGACAATACACAGGAACACAGTGAAAAGAGATAAATATTGACAGAGATCGAAATCGATAAATAACAAGTATAGCAGGACAGAGGGCGGAGGACAGAGATAAATAAGTGATTGCTAGATAAGGAGAAACAGATAAATAATAGATAAATATATTAGAAACAGATAAATGATAGATTAGATGAAGATAAGTGGAAAGGACAGGTAGCTATATATAAAAAAAGAGAGACAAAGAAAGGGAGGGACAGAGTGAAAGAAAGAGAGAGGAAAAAAAAAGAAAAAGAGAGAAAGCAATGAAAGAAAGAAGAAAGAGGAAGAAGAAGAGAAAAAAGCTTTCATATCATACTAACTACACACAAAATATGTACTGTCCTTGGTAAGGGTAGATCCTGGTTTGGAAGATGTGAATTATACGCAAGTGCCAAGCAAGCTGGAATTACTCTTGCTTGCAAGAGGAGAGAAGTCTGGGATGGTAAAATAAAACCTAAACATCTACAAAGGATAAGATTAATACCAGCCGAATGGTCAGGCATGCCAGGACCAGGAGAAGACATGGGAGAAAAGACATTTCTTAGAAAAAGGGACAGTCAGCCCATGCAGATCTTCAGGATCAAAATGAATGACGTGTGTGATACAATATGCAAGAGGAATGTTCAGGCAAGAAGACCTGAGCCACCTCCATAGGTACAGACAGTTTACAACTGTACAAAATGCGTTTATGGGGTCAGGAGGACCCCATAATTCTCCTTTCTGGAATGGAGGGAAGATCCTCCAAATTCCAGACCTTCTCCAAGACACTTCTCTTGAGCACAAAGCTGTTTGAGGTTGACCTTGGAAAGGGGCTGTTAAAGCAAAGAAGGATCTCAGTGGGAAGAGATGAAACAGATCTCTTATTCCTGGATACCCTTCTCTGCCACCATGTGAAATGGGCCACACATAAGAAATGATACATTGGAAGCAAGGCTTCATCTTAGCTGAAAAGCCAAGAAAGCTGTGGGGAAAGATAGTAAGCAAAGCACAAGGCAGAACTGGGAGAGTTGTTTCATTTTAGGCAAAGCTGAGAGTAAGGGCAGCCCATGTAAGAACATGCAAGCCACTAAGACACACACAAATAAAACAGGAAGGAAAAAAATGGCCTAGTTCAATCCCCAAACCAGGTCACTTGCTGATTCTCACCTGTGATGTGCTCACCTGATCTACAAGCCATATCCACATCCTTCTCAAAATCGGTCTGAAAGACAGAGAACACAGAGGACATTGTCAGTAGGAGCTGAGAGGGAAAGACACCTGGAATGCAAAAATGCTTTAACTCACTAGATAGGCACAATTTACCCAAAGAGTGAAGCAGAGGAATTTGTGTTGGCCTTTGAAACATGGAAAACAAACCTTTTTATTTATTTATCTATTTCTTTATTCCCAACTATAACTCTCAGGCAATGTTAAAGCTGTAACACTGCTTTGAAGCTGGATTCATCTGCTTATCCATAAACTACTTCCAGGAATTCCAAATTGAAATCTTTGCCTGAAATATGTTTATGTACATTCCTAGAACACCAGGGACAGATTCCTGGCCTGTTCTGCCTTGTATTTATCTCCCCATACTTAATCTATGTTTCCCATCAACGAAAAAGACCCAAGGATGCCTCTGAAAGTCCTCTATATCTACTGTGTTAACTCAACTTCAATTAGCAAGTCATACACAGTGCAAATATGTCTCTGAACCTGAAATTCTTAGCATATAAATTCTTAGCATATAGTCCCGGTAGGAGCAAATGCTGCAAAACTTTTTCAAATTGTCTGTGCAGCCAAATGAAACTCATCCCTTCTCCCAGTATAAGTTAGTGCTTTTCCTGAAGCTCTCCATTGGTAACACTTCAAGGAACTGGATATGATGAATCGTGAAGGGTCATGAGTTTTCATGGAGTGATGGAAAAGCCACAAGCTAACCAAAAGTAGAAGATTTTATTGATTATTTCTGGTATTACTTGGGAATGAAGGCACTTAATGTAAGTGTATTAATATGATGAAACATATTCCAGTGACACACTAGCTAACAAGACTGTTAAAAACCAGCCCACTGCAATAAACTGTTCAAAATCAGCAGGCTCAGATCCAAGAGTCTTAGAAGAGCTGGCTGAAGATTTCTATCAAACTTGTTATCTAATTTCTTCATAAATTTGGGAATATCAAGGAAATATCAAAATAATAGAAGACAAATAATACTGGGCTTATGCTAAAAAGGGCAAGTGGAATAAAACAGAAAAAAAATGTAATCACACTTGCCTGATAGGATTTCCAGAATAATATAACAAAACAGTTTGTACTGCTCCTACTGACAAATTAATTAAGGACAAGTGTATATTTAACGTCAGTCAACAAGATTGCATGAAAAACAGTTCTACCCCGTTAAACTTGTTTCCATTCACTGAGAATATATTGAGATTACTTAAAAGGGTAGATGTAAAATTTTAATTTCTTTGGTTAGAGTATGACAGAGTCACTATAAAATAACACTGCATCTCTCCAAAAATACCAGTGAGGAGCCATCATTTGTGCTTGGGTTTTGTTTTTTGTTTGCTTGTTTGTTTGTTCACTTGGATGGGAAGAAACTGATTGTAAGTTGTCTACTTTTCAACACTTCCATCAACTTCCAAAAGGAAGCTAAAAATTTGCAGTCTACAGAGTTTTCAAAGTGGTAAATAATGAATGAAAACATAGAGCTATACACAGAAGGATAAAAATCTGAGAGTTCAGAATGTATTGCTCGGGATGGTGACAATAGAATAACAACTGCAGTATCCATATTTTTAAGGGATATATTTTTAAGGGATACTGAAAAACTGAAGGATATGTGGCAAAGAGTCATAGAAATAATTTGAGGGCAAATGTCTTACAGAGATAGAATGAAAGAGCTCAGAGTGTTACTTTCCAAAAGGGTATACCAAAGGGTATACCTCCAAAAAAAAAAGGGTATGATTATGGTGTCTAATATTGAAAGAGAAAAGTACTAGGGACACAAGGGACTTTCTAATTAAACATAAAAGAGCATAGTAAGAACTTAAGTATCAAAATGAGAAGCCTACACATTTAAATTAGAAATGATGCACCTGTTTAACAAACACCTATGAGGTGTATACGCCAAAGCACTGCATGCCTGACTTAAAGACTCTGGTTTTTGAAATGAGATCTTTCATCCAACCTACTTAGCTTAGCACTGGAGGGCCTAGAAGAAATGCACTGGGTTGTGATGTAAGTGGAATTTAAGCAGATGAATTAATAATGTTTTGCAGTATTAAACTCTATACATCAGAGTCTCTACATCTCTACATCTCTACCTCTACGTCTCTACATCAACCTGAGAAATCAAATGATTATTATGCCATCATTTATAATTATATCACTGATATAATAATCAAATGATTATTATACCATCTCCATCATGATCCTGGAGCAGATGCACCTTTTTTTTTTTTCTAGGAAGGAAAGCATCTGGTCAGACGTAACACCAAAATGTCTGTAAAACCTAATGCTATGAGATTGACTTTTTGAGTTCCTGAATACTGTAATGAAAAGAAATGGGATTTATGGATGAACAAATGAGCCTAAGTCGTGCACCACATTTGTTCAAGCACAGTTTTAAAGGAAAAATGACTGTTGATTGCAAAATGTTGGACAGACAGAGCCCTTTGTTTATCTGTTATTGGTTAATAATCCCCAGATCCCTTAATAGTAGACTAGATGATAGTTTTCCCTACCATTAGCTGAGCATGTCCATTCTGAAATGACCCCCCAGAGTCTCCGTTGCCCTCTTCTTGACGATCCACAACTCGGCACTTGACAGCATCTTGGACCTGCGGAAGCAAATGGATTTGTAAAAGACAGAGTCAGAAAGAATAACATGTAAAGGCAAACTGTATGAAATTCTGCTAAAAAGAAAACCATATAGCCCTTGGTAGCTTAGAACAATGTGGCTTCTGCTTCAGTAGCACTTTGGTATTCATTTCAAGTGGTTCAGAAGTTACATATCTCACACACTAATAGAGCAGCACAAAGATTTTACAGGTACCCTGTGCCACACTTGGTCACTTCTAGTAGTTTGATTTATACAGTTAGGAGGGAAAATATCTTTACTCTGCGGCTTGCAATATTTTTATGATGCATGCTATTGCATAAATCCTTATATTTAGACTTAGTAAGTGTGAATACAATGCTATATTGACTTTATTAAATATCTGATCCAAAAGTCACTAAAATCAATGCAAAAATCTGAGTGACTGCAGTGCGAGTTAAACAGAGCCCCACATTCATAATACAATTAATTAAAGCAGTCTCAGCCAAGCCAGTAAGTAATTCCATTGATTTCATTTGTCTGACATAAAGAATTAATCTATTTTACTTAATTTAAAGGAACTGTAGGAAGATAAAATGAGTATTGGAAAAAAAAAAGCTTCCTGTCTTTGTTATTCACTCATGAATTCATTCATTAAGGTGAAAAGAGTAAGAGAAACATAAAATATTCTTCATTTTCTGTCCTGTTATAATTTACAACTTTAAATACCCACAGGGAAGCTGGAGAAAATTTGCTCAATTTCCTGGCTGGATTATAGCTAGCTTTACTTTATAATTCCAATGTCTAGGTACCAGTGCCAACATACAACCATTCTGCAAACTTTTCCAGTATGCATTTTCCTTCTCAAAATCAAATCACAAACCTGTTTTGGCTAATATTCCATTTTTGATGGGATGGCACATTTCTGGAAATGCTTATTTTTGTGTTAAGTAAGCAAAGATTATATGATAGAAAGCTAGAAAACAAATGGAAAGAAAAATGTTCCCAAAATTCCACTCCACCAAGTCTATACTACATAAAGCATGGCAACCATTGACTCATCCACTCATCCATCCATCCCACCCATCTTTATCTGGCTGATAATGTCATGGACATTTCTATGGTCAGTGTTGATGTGAAGGTGAAAGTTAACAACTCACAAGATTAGAGACGCTAACAGGCTGACTGCACATTTTTTGATGCTTGCTACAGGAAATATGTTGGCTATACATAAGAGTGCTCATTGTGCTCACCTCCCGCCTTAGGATGCAATGGACCATCACGATGACGAAACCCTCCAGTGAGTCAAAGACAGCGAAAAGGATCTGGAAAAGGGCCGAGCGCCGATCTGTGATTGCCAGGACTGCAGACATCCAAGTCAGAGCCAGGAGAGGTAGGACCACACAGGAGCTCCAAAGGGATGCCCTGTTAAGGGAGAGGAAAAGAGAATTCAACTTTAGCATCACCCATTTCCACATGCGATGCTAATTCAGCCTCCTGATCCCATGGGGCTTCAGAAGACCTTTCCTCGGTAAATGTGCACTTGTGCTAGATGTTTTCTGAGCCCCTCTCCCAGGGGAAGCAGGAGAATGCTTCGCACACTCACACTACCAAAGCAGGTGACATGCATTTCTAAGGGAAGGACTATGAGCCATGATGCAATTATGGGTGAAAATCGAGGTGGGTAGGAAGGAGGCAGATACCTCACCTTCCCCTTCATGCCCTTCCCACTCTGTACCCCTGCTTCACTACTGTGGTATTTCCCAAGGGGATAGGAGACAAAATACAATCACAGTAGGTTGCCAGATGGAAGCAGAAAAGCTGCAGCAGAGGCTGGTTTGTCATGATGGTTGTCCATACTCAAGTTACAGACACTGGGACTTCTACAGCACATGGAAGACACTATCAGGTGGGAACATGTATCACGGTTCCAAAAAACTAAAACATATGAGCACAGAGCTGACGTGGAGCTTGATCTCCTCTTGCTGTTGCAAAACAGCTCCCTTTACAGCAGATGCTCCCTACAAGACTGCATCAAGGTATCAAGATATCTTGCTCAAATTATCTCTGAGCAGGAAATTCCTGCTTTCTCCCATGATCTTCCTAGCTGAATGCTTTGAAAACTTGCAGTTCTTCTACCTTTTGCAATATCGCTACAGATAAATTTATTCTCGAGGGGACATGCTATGTTGAAACCGCTTCTTAATCCTTATTGTAGAAAACTGGACAAAACAGTCTTCTGCAATGCTAGTACCTTCACATGAACCTTCAAGTCTTTTCTATGCATAATGACTCTGGAAATGAGAAAGCAGTTCTTTTTTTTCATGCATAATCCAGTCATTTAGTGCTCTCATTGAAAGGGCCCCAAGTGATCTTAACTGCATGCTATGGACGTTTTAGGAATGGGTGCATTAAGAATACTAAGGAACTTTTTGGTGGGGATCTATCTAACTAATAAGAGCAGACTTGTGTCTAGACTAAGCAACAAGTTCGGTTTCAAGATTTTCTGCATAGAAAACATCAAACTATTTACTAACCAACACATATAAGCAACACAATATATTATAGGACGGATAGCATGACATACATTTTACAGTACTCACATGTGACTTAATTACCACTGCATGCTAAACAATCCTCACAGACCTCCGTGAGAGATTTACCTGAACAAAGCTGGATTAAAGACATCAGGACATTGGACATCAGGATTTAACACCCTGACTTCAGTTCAGAGATTTTCAAGGACTGCTACATCAGTTGCGCTGTAATGACCATACACTAAAGTGATGGGTTATTTGTGCAGTCATAATGATACTTTTACTGTAAATATTTCTGCTGACAGTTCAGACTCAAATATGTCCCTCAGCGGTATATTTAAGCAATGTAATTTACCTAAAGGAACGGATAAATGACATTTACTTTTCTTCAACTAAATCAAGTACTATGAGTTTTTCATGTAAGCTAAAGGCCATGACACATCTACATATCTGGAGTTTTCACATAGGATGACAGAATGAAAAGTTCTTTTAATTTTAAAGCACTGCTCATAAAACAAAAGAACAAAACAAAACAAAATCATCCAAAGACAACCCTCAACGAAATAACCAACCCCTAAACAAATCTTTGTGTTCCACTTCAGCCCCCCAAATCTGTCTCATCATATTGAATTAAGTGAAATCTCACATTGTTAACGTTGGCAGAGGGGCAATTAATAAAACTTGTAGTAAGTGCAGAGAAAAGAAAACCAAAGACGCAGAAAAGCCAAATGGAAAGATGAGGTTTCCTCCACAATGTGCCATTCTAGGTATGTCTTCCCTACAAGGATCAATAAGGCAATATGCCTGGTCTACGGCTTGGTAAAGGAAGTCATTCCAGGAGCAACCTGCAAAATTGCCTACTGGTAATGGAGAATAACAGAGGCTGCTAGAGCAACTCCTATCAGACAACTCTGTTTTCTAGAATTATCCGATCTCCCATCATACTCTTAATAAATAGAGATGTATGCATTATCACCAGCCACATGAAAAGATGAAATGATGAACTATATGGGAATCCCTTCAGAGCTTCTGTAGCCCTTATCCCGACACAGTGAGCCCTTTCTAGCCTCATATTCTATCATTCTTCATACAGGCAAAGTGTTTAACCTTCTTCTGAAACAAGACATCTTGATAAACTTCACTGCAGATCACATACAAGCAACCTTAATAGCAGCATTCTCATGACACTCCCACCTCAGATGACAAAAATAGCATTATGCCAGATTTTTGGGTGATGTAAATCAGAATTTTCCCAACTGAGATGTACTGATTTACACCAGCTACAACTATGGTCTGACTTTCTGATCTCTCTTTGTGATTCATCTTACAGGTGCTGACAACTCAACAGTATTCATCCCTTACAAATGCTAAGGAAATATCTGTTGACATTTAATGCATAATCTTTATTCTCAAGTGGCAGGTGGCAGTGGGTCATAGGACTATTACTTAGTTTAATTTTACTTTCATGGTTTTGCTTAGCTTTTGAAATATTAAATGTAAAAAAAAAAACTACTAAAACATTCTATCGAGTCTGAAATTTGAGAAGAAAACTCAAGGGAAGATAAGTGGATCTCCTGTGAAATTGCCTTAATTCCACCTGCAATTAATTTAATTCATAGCAGACTTCATACTTCTGCCACTTTTTTTGGTCTATCCCTTTTTCAAGTGGTGCAGAATAGCTTTCAGGATCTAAGAAACATCATAGTGTTATGGTGCTATGCAACGTGAAATGATGATTTGTTATCTAATGGTATTGTGATTACTTAATAATTCTTCATTATGGATTGTCTGTGATCAATGAACCCAGGATTTCTATTGCTTGAGACAAAGGACTAACTGCTTTAGCTGGCAGACAAAGTAGGCATTTTTCCTCTTATTTGTTCCATACATCACAGCACTCATTATGAATGACAGTAATGTTATAAAGGGAATAGCATTATGCTTCACTGTTGAAGCACGATGACGGATGTGTGATGACCATGAATGTTACTCAGCAATACAGTTGTCATGTCATGCTGTTCCTCTCCACCACCCCGTGTTCCTGTTGTTTCACAGAGAAATGTCATTACCTTGGGATATAGCAATGCCACATCACAACACAAGTAGGTATTGCTACAATGCCATGTGACAACATGGAAACGCTTTGGTGACACTGCCCTAAGCATAACCTAGTGGGACAAAATCTTAGCCTGAGGATGAGAGCACCTAAGAGACCCAGCTCTGGAAGCAAACAAATCATGATTTTTGGTCAGAATGTCTAAAGCTAATTGTGTTTTTGCTCCTTAACTAGCTGGTGGCTTCTGGACTCTTCATCTTTGCAAAAGAAACAGGATAAACTGATGAATCTTAGAGGTTAGTAATGGAAAGAGAAAAAAGGTTTTTGTAGACAAAGATCTACATAAAGAAAGTTTAAGAGGTCTGGGTCCTGACAAAGGGCGAGCAGGAGAAGAAAACACAGTACATGTCAACAAAGATGTAAAGAGCCATAATGAAGAGGTAAGCGACCAATTCCTCTCATTACTCGTCTGACTGGTAGTTGGTACAATAAGCTAAAGAAATAGCAGAAGATTATAACTCAGAAAGCAGCTCCTGCCAAAGAGCTGTGGAAAGGGGGACACAAGATGAACGGGCTCCTCCTCACATGCTGCACAGAGCAGGTGGTTCTCATTTTGGAGAGCCATTGGAATGACCCTGCTTCTATTTCACAGCATTTCTGCTAAAGGAAAAACAAAGTACAAATATTTCCTTTATTCTTTCTCTTTCATATTATTCCTAAAAAACAAGAACATAAGTGTTAATGGAATCTTAGAGATAGTTTTGGAGGAATTCCCTTTACTATTGTTTCCATATTACCAAAAGAGGAAAATTGTAGCTATAAAAGTACTACTGTGCATGTTATTACTGTGCACGCTATTATCATGCTCGAGGAGCACAGTAATACAAGGCTTCCTTCCTTCCTTGAGACTTTTTTTTAGCTATTTCAGTCTCAGATCAAATATTTTCACAAGTGGCAAAGACAAATGAATTATAAAGCACAATTAAAAGGAAGGAAATGTGGTAAAAGGCACCTTTTCAATGGAAAAATGTGCCCAGGACATACTCCAGAGCAGACCACAGGGAGAGAGCGTTGCTCTGTACCAAGCAACTGCGGCTAATTCCATGCCAGAGGAGAGCCAGGAATCCTTATGGCATCTAGTTTCTGCTAGAAGACTTCAGAACTAAATGGCAAAGCTGGCCCAAAGCTTAGGATCAATGCCAGAGGAATGGTAGTAGTGACAGCTAGCATAGTCCAAGTTTTGCCTTATTGACAATCTCATTTACAATAGATTTGAAGAAAAAAAAAAAAAACTGTTCAGTTGCAGAGTGAAGTGGATGACAAGGGTCAGATCAGGACTGGGTGATTAATTTATCTATTATTCAGCTGTCATGTCATTTTGCAAGGACAAGATCATAGTGAACTTCAGGACACACAGCAGAACCAGCAATGGCATTAATCACTTAATGTATCTATCTTTTGCTGAAAGAAACAAAACCCAAAATATCCCATAAGCTTTTAAAAGACCCCTCCAATCTCTATCAAACCAATTAAACCAAAACATCAGCAGACTGGTATTTCAATCTCATTTTTCCAGATTTTAAGATAAATCAGAGGTATGTGATTTATGACAGACCACTGTCAAATAATCAAATAGTACAACAGAAGAATTTGACATTGTTTTCCTTAAGGAATTTACTATGAATGTTTTTAATAGTCTGACTGATTAACAGTAAGGTTTCTGCTGGTTTAAACATTCCTCTGCAGACATGGAAAACCAAAAAGCTAACCTGCTAATTCTGACTCATGGTATGTGCTCTGGACCAATTTATTTCACCACCTCAGCTGGTCACTGTTGCAAAAGGTAAACAAAAAGCTCAGCAGTGAAAAAAATAAATGAGATTTTGTTTAGCTTTTGTATCTCATAAGAAACCGTAACTCTTAATAAAGGCTACCAAATCTTTTATTTTTTTTTCTCCTAACGACAATTGGTCATTTTTCAGAAATATACAATCTTTTAAAAACATTTTCTAGATTTGAAAACATCATGGAAAAAAAGAAGTGTTTTTCTTTTATGTTTCTACATTCCAATCATTAGATTGATCAAAAGTAGGAGCTTTACAAGCTGTAAATGTTTGAGACTGTTTCTTTTGTACATTTTATATAGCATATATTGCTCTAGACACTTAAAGCAAAATAAATAATTACCCAGAAATAATAAATAAATAAATAATAAAAGTAAAAAATAAAATTTCACGAGGGGAAAGATCAATCTTCCCTTCCTTGCTCTCCCTCCTACCTTAACCTCAGGGGGGAAAAAAAGCCAGCAATATGAATAGCAACAATTATTCCAGAAGAACAAAGTTATGACATTTTCAAAGCGATGACTTCTTTTTTACTAACTCTATTTGCACCCAAGAAAAGATCTAACAACATTTGATTTTCAAAACACAGAGCTATGGAATGCTTTAAGACGCTGAGATCTCATTGCAAATGCTGTTGGAGGACTGCAAGTGGCAGCCAACTCTTATCATATCTCAACTACAGCCCTATAAGTTATCAGACCTAACTCTAGCCCTGTCCAAAAAGAAAACCTGTAGGGGTGAATAACCAGCCTCATTGAAATCGTAGTCAATTCTCTCTAGTCTCATGGGAGTCAAGACTCAAGCACATGCTTAACTGTTCACCTAAACTGGAGCTTGAGGCCCTAATATTCTACCATCAATAGCAACCACAGTCTCTAACTCCAAGAACCAAGCTGAACTGGGGCATTAATTGTATACCCAAATTTAAGCAAATGAACAGTCCCATTGTCTTCCATGGGCTACTCATATGCTTACACATAGACATATTCTAAAGAGCTTTGTAGGATCCAGCCCATCAACTTTTGTTCCCAGGATGTTTCAGGAACCCTACACTACTCATGGCCCACAGAATGAGATCAGGGAGAAGGTGGGATGTGGGGATGAGGGCAGGGACATGGGGAGAGAAAACAAACAGGGGCTGGCAAAGGAGGGGAATGAAAGAGGGAAATTAAAAAAAGAAAGTGAGAAAGAAAGAAAAGAAGTTGAAATTAGAGGAACTAACATGGCGTTACTGGTGGCTGTGGCCGAAACTTCTGCAGAAGAAACTACTCCACACTTGGAACATTTGAGCGTCATGCCGTAAAGGGGCACTGCCATCTGACTGCAATTAAAATCAAAAGACTGAAACAAAACAAAACACTTTGCTCATGAACACAAACGTAGAAAGGAAAGGAAAAGAGAAGCCAAAAGAAAGAGAGAACGAAAGAAAGGAAGAAAGAACAAGGAAGGGAACCAACCAACCGTAACCAGTTTGAAAAGAGAAATGAAAGACAGAGGGGAATAAAACTCTCTCATCTGTATCATTCCAGATGCAGGAAATGGGAAAATGTGTGGTTCAGAGATGCGTTGGTGCTGCTGGAGTGGGTGGAACTGTGTTGGTGAAGGTTTTGCCAGATTTAGGGTGTCTCTCTCTGGCACCCATGGAAACTGCTCTCCCAGTCTCCACTGTCTTCTTTTGACTTGTTTTGAGAAATTGTTCTTTTCCCTTCTGGCTTTTTTTTGCTTGAGGAAAAAAAAAAAGTGTCAGGGTGGTACAGTAGAAGGCAAGAAGTAGGGCTATGGGGATTGTGTCTGCTTAGTTTGCTTCCTAAAGCAATGGACTTCGCAATAAGCAAAGCAATACTTTTGCCATTGACCCTTGTGTGTTAATCCTCACACTGATGGGAACACCTATGTGGCAGTTGACAACAGCAGGAATTGGGTCAATCTTTGATGACATAATCTGTGACGAAGCACAGGCAAAGTTCTTAAAGTTAAGAATGAGCTCAGGTGTTTTGTTGGGCTGTCGTGAAGGGAGGTGAATGGGCTGAGTACGTCTCGGTGATTTCTTCTCTCAGGTCTGGGGGAAACCTTATTTTGGAGCTGATGACATCTTTGGGATTAACACTGAGACTTGCTCAGATAGGTCTCTCTCTCTCTCTCTTTTTGTTGTTTTTTTTTCAAGATACCTCAATCCCTGGCCATCGTGGTCTGGGGCTTTGGGGACCCTGTAGAGACTCCCAAAACCTAGGTACCCAGTAAAGGGCATGCCTATCTGGTTCTTTGGAAGCTGATATGTACTGGTGTACAGGAACTCACCCAGCTGACATGCCACCTCTAACTCTGGAGCCCAGAGGCCACACTGGCTTCATATTGATCATTTGATCCTCAAATTTATTGATTTCTATGAACTGCCTAATAAGCATGACTTCCACAACAGACCTGGTCTAGGAAATGGACAGGAGTCAGCAAAACGTCCTGCAGACCTATACAAAGAGCCTAATATCAACAATGACATTAACATCATTGGTAAGGGGCAGAGGGCCTGTTTTTCCCAGGGAATGGTAGTGCAGTTGGTGAGAGATGATACTTGCAAATACCAAAGGTAGGGCTATAACAGGACCTATCTGGGAGAGAGACTAGAAAACTTGACAGATTCCTAATTTTTACGGCTATGTTCAGTCTAAACTAAAAAAAAAAAAAGACATTGCTATGAACACCAGCACAGCATTATTGGTGGCCATGTGAGCTTACTTTTAAGTGGTTATTGATTGGTCTTTTAATCAGTTACAGTGACATAAGCCATTACTTCCTTCTAGAATAATGACTTGTAGTTAAGGCATCCCACAGCAACTTGTAGCCTTGAGACACAGAGAAAATTAGCTACTGTGTCAATAGATACGTATCTTTGAGGAAGAATGTTGTAAATCCAGTGAGAACAATGGCTGAACCAAAGATAAAGTGGGTCTTGAGAGGCATTAAGTGCAAGACCACTAAAAAAGATGGTCTATCCCCAGACCTATGAGCCACAAAGAACAGATCAGCAGAAAGACAGAGAGAGGCAGAGATAGGCAGCAAAAAGAAAGCAGATTCAAGAAATTTGATGGAAAACTATGCCAGAAAAAAACATGAATGACACTGAATCACAAAAAAAAGCTGGTCAAAAGACCACTGTAACACACAACTGTAACTGCTGTCAGGTGTATTTATGCAGAAAGCTGTAAGCAGTAAGCACAAATGTGAATGCATTTATATTCAAATTTCTTTTTGCTGGAGGCAAGGGGTTGTTAATACACTAAGTTCCTGCAGCAGGTTTATACTGGTGCATGTATGTATGAAATGGTAGCTAATTAAATAATTACAGCAAATAATGCATTCATTTAATTAGCTTCTTATTTGGCTTCCTAAATATCCACAATATTCATGAACTCATCTGGAGTGTTTGCTGGAGCCTAGATTTTGCTACTTACTGAATAGTGCGTTATACCATTCATGGCCTAGAGCGCAGGAACGCTGCTTCTAAAATGAAACACTCTCAGATGAAAGGCAATATGAATCTGTCCCTATTTTAATGCAATGATTACCTTTCCAATCACTTTTACTCTAGGCATTGACAATCCAGTGCTGTTGCACCCCACCAGGGCAGTCGAATATTTCTCACAAGATATTGGGGCAAACTTTCTCAAGTCCTCTCTATAATCGATGGGGAAAAGAAAAAATAAAGTTCCTCTAACAGGCAACTTGGAAGAACTAAATGAGGCTCTTGTCTCTCTCCAGTGGCTACAGAGGAAGCCCAGGGCAATTAAACTCAGCAGGCTAAAATTAGCATTTGTGAATATACCCTATAGTCTCAATTTTGTTCCCTGGCTGTGTGAGCACACAAATGCTTCTAGAATAAATACCGGCTGAATAAATTTAAAATTCATTTTAAAGGCTCCTGCGTACAACATTAAAACATTTGCTTTCAGTAGCACTCACGTCAATAGAGTTCAAATGCTCTCTGTGCAGCTGACCGCAAAAGGAGGCAGATTAGCCGTGGGGAACTGATTAACAATTCCAAGCACGTATCTGCTGGAAGGCACTTGCACGATTTTCTCCCTAGCTTTAGTACACGGTTAATTCCCAGACAGGATTCAGGGCAGTTTTGTGTGCTGATCCAGTTTTCACTATAACCATACCCATCTTTTAAAGCCTGGCTTTGTGGTCCATGTATAAAGTCATCGCTGCTAGAAAGTTAACGTTTTCTGACAGATATGACACAATAATGATAACTATTTTCTCCAGTAAATATAGGGCAAGACCTACTGTGTTTCAAGTACTATTTTGTTGTAACTGTTGGTTAACGCTGATTTGTTTGTGTCAACCAATCTACGCTGCAGTATGTGTGCTGGGCTTCTCTTTGTGTTAAATAGCTCTTTTCTCCCTTCTTTTTCTCTCTTTTTTTTTTCCTTTTTGTTTTGCAACACTGAACCATACTTCTTGCCTCTGCTAAAGGAAACACAATGTTTCTTTATACCATCTCCCCAGATCCAAACATCTCCGAGGCAGTTAGTCATTCCGATTATCTCCAGATCTACCCTCCAACACGGTTCCCAAGCCCAGGCCAGGAGCGGCTAGCTACAGCGAGGCGGGTACCAGACTCTCAAAAGCATTTCGGCATTCTTAGTGGGTGCACTTTGGAAGGAGAACAATATTGGCAAAATCACTTAGCACAGAGAAGGCTTAAAAGTACTGCACACACACACACGGACATGAAAGAGGGGGGAAAAAGGAGAAAAGAAAGAAAAAACAAAGAACATCAGAAAAAAAGGATCTTTTTTTGTTGTTGTTCTGTAGGTTTTGCTTTCAAAGTATAACAAGGAATGTGATCAATAACCAGACGGCATGCATTAAATAAGGATATTCTGTGTGCATTTAGCTTAGAGAAAGGGAGTGAGAGACTCACTGTTTTGCTAATCCAATAAATGATTTATTTCTGTGTTTGCTTTCAAATATAATTACCTTGATACTAACTCTGTTTGAGGTTAGGGTATTTTCTTGAGTTCTCTCTTTTTAAAGAAGGCATCACTCAGAATAAAGCACCCTCTCCTTGGTAGATGTGTTAAGCAATGTGCCAAAGTCTCTTGCCCTTTCCCAACTTGGAAACTTCCCAGCAATGGTATTCCCTGCTCATCCAAACCAACCCAAGCCTCCTTTTATTATCACTATCAAGGTACCACTCAGACTTCTGATTTTGTCCTGATGTAAGAGAAGGACAAGCTGTGGATGCTCTAACATCTGCCTTGAAGGGTAAAGGCACCTGAACCTGCAAGCCCTAAAGGAAGATCTTCCTTGGCCATAGTGAGTGGCCACGCTTCAGGACCTGTGGCCAAGCAAAAATGAAAAAATGTTTGAAGAAAAAATGTGGCTGTAGGCTACGGAGCTGGGAGGGCTTTTCCTACCAAGATTCCTGAGGAGCTATGCCACATGGACACCTCACTGCCACTACTCAAAGGTTGAGACTTCTCAGGTTCCTCCTTCTCTTGCTAGGTAGGAGCTAGCTTCTGCCCTCTGTTACTCTGCCATCACTTTGTGAAAACTTATTTTCATTGCAAGTAGTCCACAGTGCAACAAAAGGCGCATTTAACCTTGACTGTACTCTTCACCTCAACCCTCTAAGACAACTTAGGGTCCTGCAGGACCACAGTGGATGGGGACACTTGTCCCCTCTGTGAAGCCCTGAAGTGCAATACACAGTACAGCAGGTATCTATGCTTCCTTCACCTATACAGACGTATCTACTTCAAAAACAGGCTGCTCTTCCTTCTAAATTTTTAGGCTGAGCTTGTAATCATACATGGAGGCATCGGAATATGTCCTGTTCTCCTTGTTCTCCCTTTGCAAACAACATTTTCCTTCAGAAGTATGTTAATTATCTACAAACACTATCAACTGCCAAGCAACCCAAGCAAGGCAAATGCCATCAACTAAGCAAGAAGTCTTTTTGAAGAGTAGGTCAAGAGTTAGCTTCTCTGACTGAAAGAGCAGCCCAGGTAAGACAGTGGATGCCATGTATTAGCATCAGCAGTGGGGCCGATCTGTACATTTTCCATGCTCTGATTTGACTCAAAGCGTCAGCATGCCATTTTTGTCCTTGCTTAAAGCATGGGTTAGCCCAGGGATATAGTCTGAGCAGGCTGCAGCCTCGCTTGGAGAAACCAAGATGAAGTGAATTCTCATCCTGCTGGAGTTCACAATAAAATAGTCCTTGTTAGCAGTTTGGTGCCAAGCCAACAGGGCAATTGAGGCCCCGTCCCCTGTGTGAAAACGCACTTATAAGGGCTGTGGAATAGTTCCTTCAATTTATACTGTGAAGAAAAGTAGTTCTGCACACCCAGCGTTTTGGGTGTGGTGGCCGGGGACATGGTTGTGGAAAAGATTATTTAAATAACAAACTTTTCTATCAGAAGAGATTTACCTACCTACGGGTTTTTCTTTCTGCTCATCTATCCATCTACTAATCTCTTCACTCCCAGATCTTCCAATGTCTTTTCCTGCAAGGCATTTCATCGCCCTCACAGCAAGGTGCCAAGCTTTAGATGTGACTTCTCTATCACACAGCCCACTCCACCGGCCACGCTCTGCAGTGGCAACTTCCTCTCTGATTTGGCTATTGTCTCTAGGAGTTGGTGTGAAGAGTGAAGCCATTTTAACAAAGAGATGAACTTCTAAACCTCCCTCCTGGCAACACAGTGCTGCTTCCTGGGGCTTTAGTCTCCACTGCACTGAATGACACAACACAGCATTGCATCAACAATTTCTTTGGTTTGCTTTGTTTAATTTAAATGTTTTCTTTGTTTTGTTTTGTTTGTCTCCAATTTTTCTTTGGATCCCTTGCCTGGTTATTGATCACAACCTTTTTTTGTTTGTTTGTTTTCATTCTTTACTTAGACGTATTGATAAGGCATACCCTGCCCGTTCCTTCAGTTTCTTATCTGTTATTCCATCTTTGGATACAAGTTTGTTAAAAACCAGAATGCCAATAACCATGTTCACCTGTTGAAAGAGAAACAACACAGTTTTGTTCTCAAGTGGTTCAGGTCAAACTCAGTAGCACAGAAGACAAAAGAGAAAATACATTTCGGCAAGTTGCATCCTTTGTTTTTTGCAGAAGCAAGGCCACATCCCAGCAGGCCATCACCCTTCCACCCCATCCCACCTCCCCTGACCATAGGTCAGTCAGTTCAAGAAAACAAAATGCAGCTGATGGCAGATTGGAGAGGTCTCTGTAAGCCAGGGGCAACCTGCAAATTGCTCAGATCAACACAGGACCTCCTGAAGTCTGATCTGTTTCGCCCAGTGCGTGCTTGAGTTCTATCAAGGCAAACTCAAGGCACAAGACCTTTTTTTTTCAGGAATACAAATAGAAGATGGTCAATATTGGGGAGTAACAGTGGGTGACAGGGGCTACTTTTAATAGCCTCTTGAAATAAATATCCACAGGGAGATGCAGGCTGTGCAGAGCTAAGCTCTCACAAAGCTCCTCACTGCTTCTCCTTGAATACATCCTTTGGGTCGCTGTCACCAGCTGCATCTGTTTTACAACTCCCATCCAAACCTCAGCAAACTCTAAACATTAACACACTTGGGACACAAGAACATCACTCCATTAATAGGGGCACAGCACCGATGGTGGAAAAGAGTGACACTCTCCTGGGTTTGTTGTCAATGAAACATCTCATATTGGTAGAACAAGGAACTAGATGTTGTTCTGTGTGTGGGGCTTGCAAGGAAATGTGTAAGACCAAATTCAGAAATTCACATTGACTGAGAGTCTGAGTGAGTTTAATAGAGGTTCATCACACACATTTCCAGGGCAGGGAGATGTCTGTTCACACTAAGTCTCTATCTAACTGCCTACAGAGAAGCCTTTCTGAGTGTGCACTGATGGTTTCGGTAGGACATTACCCAGCTCCCTGATGGAGAGTCCACAGCTGGGAACAAATGGAAGAGCTCCCAAATAACAGATCTTTTCTTTTTCATCAGCTGCTGGGTCATTGGACTGTTTTCCACAGCTGCAAATCCAATTTGAGAGTATACCATGCTATTGTTTTTTAGAAACAAGGCTGGCAAGACTGACATAGTAACACAGCCAAGGATCAGCAGG